TTGGGCTAACTTTATAATTAAATTAAAAGTGTCATTTTCTATTTTAACTGGTCTCACTGGTCAATCTGATTCCATAATACTGTTTTAACCGCATCATAATTAATTTATATTTTCTTTTTAAAAATTGAGTTCAAAATCTCACTAATAATTCCACTTCTGAGGATATTATATTAGAAAAAGAAAAACAACCTTTCCGTTTTTTAAAATTTGATTGAAAGGATTTTTTTATTGTTAAGTTTAAGGTTGGGATCAATTATCAATCTAGGGGATTCATAATTTTTTTTTTCTTTTTGGAGAAGTAGATGATTAATAATTGGTAATATTAATATTATACATATATGACTTTAATGTGGGACCGAACATGTCCGACCAGCCGCGTCGTTTAGGACAACCTGCCGAATGTACCGCTGTCTTATTCGCCACCCTTTGCGCAAAATAGAGAAAGAGACGAATTCGACACCGTTTAACACAGTATTTCCACTTGTCACTTCCCATAACACCCATTTAGATACTGCCACATTTCAAGAAACCCATCATACCACAAATCTATCTTGTGGAACCTAACACACAGAATCATTTCTTTCTACTCTCTCCCTTGCGCGAACAAAACTGTACCAGAATTGGACGACGCGTTAATTGATGCATTGATGAAGCACAGCTGTAACCCAATCAATCTCTCTCTATCTTCAACTGCAGCTCCATGTGACCTCTTCCTCTTGTCCCTACTCTTCCTTTTCCCTCTCCATCACTCAAAAAGAAAGCACCCAACTAGCCATTGACAGACATACTTAAGTCTCTCTCAAGCTTAGTTTAGTTTCAAATCTCTCCCTCCAATGGCGATTTCTAAACACTTAACTTTCCTTTTCGCTGTTTCCCTCTCTCTTAGCTTAGGAATCGAAGCTCAAGTGGAAGAAACAGGGTTGAAGATAATGGCGGACAGTCTCGAATGGCCAATGGCGATGTCTATGTACAGTGATTTGGAAGGGAAAGGTGAGTTCGACAATGGATTGATAGATTTAGATAGTGACGAAGAAAATGAAGAGATAGGCGACCGTAGATCTTTGTTCTGGAGAAGAGTTCATTATTATATCTCTTACGGAGCTCTTGCGGCTAATAGAATTCCTTGCCCTCCAAGGTCAGGTAGATCTTATTATACTAATAATTGCTTCAAATCTAGAGCTCCGGTTAACCCTTACACCAGAGGCTGCAATAGGATTACTCGTTGCATTTTTTTTTTTTTTTTTTTTTTTTGGATGATTAGTGAGGATTTGCGATGTGTATTAAACAATGTGATTTGTAGTATAATTATTGGTTTTAGTGCTTTCTACCTTAATTAGGTGCTGGTTTTTGTTGGTAATTAATTAATTTTATGCGCCATTTTCCATATATTCTTCAGTTGTTCTGTTTCTGTGTTTCGTTCTTATCTCTGATATGAATGTGATTAGTATGATAATAGTAATAATAATCAAAGTTAGCAGTAGTTAGCGATTTCGAGTAGTAGTGATTTTTGCACGTGCTAGTGGTGATGACTGATATGATACTGGTGGAAAGATGGCTCGACGGCTCAAATTATTAGCTGATTGTTGTTGGAATTGTTAATTTTTAAATATTATTGAGAAATATTAATTTTATTTAATTCTTTTATAATTTTTATAAGATTAATTTGTTATACAGTCCTTAAATTTTAATTACAAGTAGTATCACATTTCTATTATTTGCCAAAATTATTAACTTATCTTTGAAATTTAGCTTTTATCTTTGAAATTTAGCTTTTACTCATTTTCTCCAAAAAATATCATTTTTTATACTTGTTCCTTTCACCTAAAAATTGTCATCTTTACATTTAAATGAGAAATTAAATAGTAAAGTTAGGTTTAAATAGTTAATATTGTATAATATTTAACGGTAAAAATTAAAAAATGATAAAAATAATTTTTTTAATAAAAATCCTAAATAGCTCAACGAAGTTAAATAAATCAATAATTTTATTAAATAATAAGTATTTGATAGTAACTTTTATCAAAGTTTAGGACTAAATAATTTATTACCATTTTTTAATAAGCATGACGTATAACAATTCGATTAAATTAAATTTTAATTATTTTAATTAACAATTTCAATAATAAAAATTGGATTATCATTTGAACTTTTGAGGAAGAAATAAATTTATTTGTCTGAATCAAATCAATAAGCAGCTTATCTAAATTTGGCTTTTGCAATTTAAATTTTATCTGAATAAAAAATGTTTATATTCAAATTTAATTCAATAAATTATCTAATTTATTAAATGAAAAGATAAAATTGCCTTTATAATTATATATAATAGTGTATATATCACTTTTTAATCTTCAATAATTAAACTGCTAATACTACTTCTCAATCATTTAACTTAATAAATTATTATTTTTAATTTAACATTCAGAATCCAATCGAAAATAAAATAAACGAGCTCTTAAAAATCTTTTAATATTTTAAATAAAATAATAAAGAGCAATAAACTTCCATTTAATAATATAAAAATGAAAATATTTCTCCATTTGAAATTAAATTAAAGAAGAAGAAAAAGAATAAGCCAAATCCACAAGTAAATTGGAAAAAGAAAGAGAATATGGAGAAGATAAAAGGAACCTAACCGAACCAGCAAACCCCAGCAATGAATTAATGTAATTCAACAACCACAAGTCTACAACTGCGGAGGGTATTAAACGACGGAGCTGTTTTCTCGTGCGTGTGGTGTTCGGTTTGAACATTTGTTGAACTCTAATCTATAATTTAATTGATTTAAAATTCAAAATTTTATATTATTACCTATATTTATTTTTTACTTTTATTACTAGAAAAATTATCAAAAACTGTGACTTAACACGTGTAATTAATGCATGATGTGTACTAATATATTTTTCATAACAATCTTCAACATATATATATTTTTTCTAAAATAATTAATTTAATTTGTCTAATTAATTTGAAATTATAATTTAATTATCATCCAATATATACCAATCAATATAAAAGAAATTTCCTTTTTAGAAATTATATTTAAATGATATATAATTTAATTAAATTTGGACGGTCTTGATTTTAGAACTGTAAATCAAAGCAATAATTCAGTTTTTTAAATATTGAAAACAGAATCAAATTAATAATTTTTTTAAAATATACTTTTAAATCGATTTACATTCATTTAAATGATTTAAGCTGTTTTTCACTGTTTACGAACACTTCAATATTTTCTATTTAACAAAAAAAAAAAAAAAAAAAAACATTTTCTCTCAAGAGATCGTGGGATGTGAGCCTATTACTGCCTGAACCCATGATATTGGTGGGCCTTGTCTGCCTCTCCTTAAACATCTATCGAGAAGACAAAAGCCTAATTATAAATGGGAACCCTTTGTCTTTCGTGTGCTCTTTTGATTTCTTTGCTTTTTGGAATGAAATATTAATAATCAGCAAGTCCACAAGACAAAATCAATATGAATGGGCATGTAAAATATTAGTAACAAGTAATCAAGTGGACCTTTTCTTAATCAAGGTTAGTTCTTAATTCTTATCCTCTATGTGGAGATTTTGTTTCCCTCATTCTCTTTCACTTTTATACCTCTTGGTCTTCATTGCTTTCCATCAACTTGATAATTTATTTATTAAGATGGAGATTAATTTATTCAACTCGATAATAGTTTTTTATTTGAATTTTGATCTTAATGTACAGAAAATAATAAGACTTGCCTACAGTCGAATCTACTTATACAACCAATCAATTAATAAAGATATTTTTTAAAAATTGTTTCTATTTTATCTTTTTTTTTTAGAGCATGATCTTAAATATCATTCTTTCAATCAAAAATTAATTTTAATTGATTTTGGTGCTTGAACGGATCTATACATCGGATATAGATAAGTCTTTCGTAAAAAGTAAAAATACTTATCATTTCATAACATTTAATATTAGGGATTATCATGGTAACTCTTATTTTTTAGTTGCTAATTACATGCATTCCTTTTAATCTTTTCCCCCTTTTAGATTGGGAAAAAAGATGTCATCTTGGTGTGTGCTAGTTGGTTTCCTTAGTTTAGAAGCATCAACCATCCTCTCCTTATCCATCTAAAGTGTTTTTCGTTATCTTGGCAAGTGAAGTCATTTAAAATCACAAGCTGTCTGGAAAGAGATTTGTTCTAATAATGCAATTCGACGACTTTGGGGTGGATTGAGACTTAAAGGTTGAAAGAGAATTTTTACCTAAATGGAGCGATTACCGGAAGGTTAAAATTAAAATTAAAAATATTAATGATATGACTTGATCATAGTATGCCAAAATTGATTTCAAGATTTGATTTAAAAAAAAAAAAACTATATTACCATCACTGCAATAATTGAAAACCATAAAAATAGTTGTCCTTAGGTTGTCTTTGTAAATTGGATGCTAATGACAAAGACTGCTTTTATTCTTTGTCTAGTTAGGTGGTTTCCTCAGAAATTGTTTGGAAGCATCCTCTCTTTATCCACCCAAGTGTTCTACTGTTCTTCACGACCCTGGCAAATCAAGTCAAGTCAAGTCAAAAAATAATTTTCTTATAAAAAGAAGTCATAAAAGTTATTTTTTTTCACCTTTTATGAATTCCCTTTTTCCACTTTTTCATGTAAATTAATTAATCAGATGATTTAAATGTTAATTATAAATATCAAATTAATAGACTTAAAAATAACTCAAGACTGACTTCAAAAAAAAAAAAAAAAAAAAAAAAAAAAAAAAAAAATCAAGATTTTGCACATTCAGTCTGGAAATAAATATAAAATAGAATAAAAAAAAAACTTAATTTGTTGAGTGTTTTCTTAATATTTACCAAAAAAAAAAAAAAAAATCAAAAAAAAAAAAAAAAATCAAAGTATAGCTAGAGTATAATCAATAAAAAAAAAAAAAAACGTTACTAATTAATTATTTTAGCATAAAGAATTGTTTTGAAATACTAAATGCTGAATTAGGTTTCTTTTACTGTCAGGCTTCCACTTCAAGAATGTTTTAGATTCTGTTCACACTTCACACACATGTCTAAATTTTTCAAGTAAAAATCAACCCACCAAGACTGAAGATTTACAAGTCTTCTCCTCCCCACTCACCCTCTTCCTCTTAACCTCTCTCTATATAAACGTTTAAGAGTGGTAAGGAAGCAATTAGTCTCCTTAATTAATTTCTGATCTCTTTCTTAATCAGTTTTTTGCAGAAAGAAACTATGGATTGCGACAAAGGTTTTTCGAGCAGATATATGATCTTGAAGCCTGAAGAATTGAGATTGTTTGATCTTTTTAACATCTTATTTTCCAGTGATATTGGGAAAAGAAAGTTCCTTGACAGTGCAGAGGCCAAAGAGGAGAGTTTCGAGCGGCGATGGCTTATTTTTATCTCCATCGTCGTTCAAAAGATGCTGAAACTTTTTTCCACGCCATTATCGTTTCTTGGTTCCATGATCGAGATGTGGCTTAACCTCTTGTCCTGTAATGGAAATTTTTTCAGGCTTTTGTTCAACCTATTAAGAGGTCAGTTGTTTCCATTACTCTTTTTCTTGCTCTATATCTGTCAGGATCAGGAATAGTTCAATCGGTAAAACAAGCTTGAAAATTATGTATAAGAACTTAAATATTTTTATTTGTTAGTATTGAATAAAAATTAAAAAATTTACAAAAATAATAACATTTTACTGAAGTTTTTACGTATAATTTTTTTTTTTGAATGAACTTACGTATAAATTTAATAATTAACATAAAGTATACATATTTCCAACATCAAAGTTAAGTTTTGAGATGTGAATTTTTTTTAACCCTTTATACCATCAAATTAAAAGTCTTCTGGCTAACTACGAAGTGGGATCTAGCTAGGATCATGATCACGAATGATGTGGTCCCTCAAACTCAACTATCCCTTGATATACAGCTCAAAAGAACACGATTAAGAAGAGATCCACCAATCAATTACACAGTGGAAAACCCTAAGCAACGGTAACATTCATTCCCCACTAATATCTATATATAATAATAAATATATCAAAGCAAAACCACGTCATTTATGTGTCACAATATTAAAATATTAAAGTAGTAATGTGCCAAAAGAAATAATTTTCAAATAAAATACATTTAATATTACTTTTTAATTCTTTTTTTTTTTTCATTTAGATGTTAATTGAGACGTAGATCCAATTTTAAAACTGAGGCTTAACTATTGCTGTTACAGACATTAATTGAGTTAATGTTAATGTTGATATCATTAACAATATTGAATTTTCTTTAGTTTTTTAAATAGTTAATTGAATAATTACTAATGCCATTAATGTATTTTAAATAAAAAAAATTTTCAATTTCTTTTTTTAGTTTAATAATATCAAATGTTGTTTAGTTTTTTTCATTAATTAAGTAAATAATTAATAACATCATAAATAATACTTCCAATAATAAAAATTTTTAGTTTTTTCATAGTAATTAATAAAATTAATATTAATAAAAGTTTTAAAATCTGTTTCTCACATAATTACAAATTTGTAAGATGAACGTGGATAAAATTGAGTTGGCAAGAAAAATTGTTTTTTTGTGTTATTTATTAATTTCATTTTTCAATTTAGATATTATCTGAGTTAACATTAATATTAATAATATTATTTAACTTTTTAAAAATAATTAACTAAATAATTAAAAATATCATTAATACTATTTCAAATAATATAATTTTACAGTTTTTTAACTAATAATTGATGAAATTAACATTTTTTTTTCGAAAATCCCAATTTATTTTAGAAATATAATTCATTAATAATATAAAATCAAGTATTATAAATACTCAATTAGGATAAACATAGAATTTACTATCATAATTAATAGAAAGTCCGTTCATCCTTCAAGAACAAAAGAATAATTTATATTCTTTTGAATAATAAAATTAAAACTGAACAAAAGAAATAATTTATATTCTTTTGAAATAATAAAATTTAAAACTAAAGAAACAAATGATCGGATTTTTACACTTTAAGATAAGCCTTGGATTGAATAGTTGAATCTTCATATAGTGTAAGCAAACTGGTTCTTTAATTGATTTGGTGACAAAATAACTTCTCTGAATCTTTTATTGTTTGGATTGCCTTTATTCAAAATATTTAACATTACGTATGAATAGAATTTACTATCATAATTAATAGAAAGTCCGTTCATCCTTCAAGAACAAAAGAATAATTTATATTCTTTTGAATAATAAAATTAAAACTAAAAGAAACAATATCGGATTTTTCCACTTTAAGATAACCTTGATTGATATGAATCTTTATAGTAGCAACTGGTTCTTTAATTGATTTGGATGACAAAATAACTTCTCTGAATCTTTTATGTTTGGATTGCTTTTTCAAAAATTTATTACGTATGACGTACACGGATGAGTTCAAGATACTGTGCGTTAATAACGTCAATAGAGGAACAGGCCGCACTACTAGATTCCATTGATTAAAGATACATATCAGTAAAATAAGATTTAAATTCTCCAACCAAATAAAATCAAATATCATGCCTTTTAAGAACAAACTTTCACAAAGAAGAAACTAAATTAACTCTCACAGAAAAAGGGACAAAGAACTCCAAATATGAAAACAAAACAATAATAGTAAAAAAACAAAGAAAAACAGATTTATTAAAAGAAAATAGATCTAAGTTTATTAAAAACAATAAAAGATTAAGAGCGATAAGAGAAAAAAAAAAGTAGGGTGTTACCGTTGATTAACAACAGTAGCCTCAAATAAAAGGTAAGGTTAGATAAACCAGAGAGAAGAGAAAGAGAGAAACCCTAACCTAGTATCAAAATTCCAAAATTTTAAATTAACAATATTAATTACTTCATTAATAAAAATTTCAAAGTCGTTTTTCTTATACTAATACAAATTTGTAAAGTGAATATGAGTAGAAAAAAAACGCACCGGATTTAAACCTAAAATTTATATGAAGATATTGATGATGGGTTAAATATTTTTGAGTCCCTAAATTATGATCAAATTAATACTTAGGTCCCTCAATCTTTGAGTAATTATTTTGAAAGATCTAAATAATATTGTCGTTACACTGTGAGAATTTAGGAACCCAAAAATATTTAACCCCACTTAATACTTAATATTTGTTTTTCAGCCCATATAAACGGAAAAAGATATGAATTTAGATGGAAGGGTCTCACAGTGTAACGACAAAAATATTTAACCCATCATCAATATCTTCATATAAATTATTTTGAAAGATCTAAATTATGCTTGCTATTACACTGTGAGAATCTTCCATCTAAATTCATACATTTTTCCGTTTATATGGGCTGAAAAGTGAATATTAAGTGGGGGTTTAAAAATTTTTGGGTCCCTAAATTATGATCGAATTGACACTTAGGTCTTTCAATATTTGAGTAATTATTTGCTTTTCAGTCCATATAAATGAAAAAAGGTAAGAATTTTGATGGAAGGACCTCACAGTGAAATAATGACGTTATTTAGGTCCTTCAAAATAATTACTTAAACATTGAGAGACCTAAGTGTTAATTTGGTTATAATTTAGGAACCTGAAAATATTTAATCCTATTGATCATTAAAAAAAACTGAAGAGGTTTTTCATTAATGGGCAAAAAAATTGTTTGGATTATTATTATTGAAAAAAAAAATCAAAGAGTTTGTTCATTAATATAATAAACTTATTCCAGGGTTATTATTTATTGAATTCAATTAGTACATACACGTAATTAAATTTTCTATATTTTAGAATGTAACGATAGGAACACAAATCTTAAATTGTTATTTGAATTTCTAAAAATAATATAACGAAATTACAAATTCCATACAATGGACAGGCACATAACTAGTATATAATTAATAGTTAACAGTCTAATAATACAGATCAACAACTGTGATTACAACATATCATTATTATTATTGTATATCTTAACTTTGTTGGCTAATTGTGTTCAGGAAGGTTGATAATTCCTGACAAAACATCAGCAACATTCATTTCTTTTATCGGAAATTTCGACAAGCGACTTGAGTTGGACAAAGACATAGCACGTGAAGATTCAAGATACAATGCAGCTCTCTCTATGATGGCTTCTAAAGCATCTTACGAGAACAAGGCCTACCTTCAAACTATAGTCGGTGATTATTGGAAGGTATTAATATTACCTCATTCCAAAATTAATTATTACCATGCATTTACTAATTAATTAATAAATATTAAAAATCATTAAATGTTTGCAAATCTTACGCAGATGGAATTTTTGGGATTTTATGACTACTGGAATGGTAATTAATTAAGCAACCTGAACTCAAATTTTTATTAGTAATTTCCATTTTCTATACGTAGTTCATAAGCGTGATCTGTAATTAAAATAATTCATTTAAGTAATATTTAATGCAGATTATCAAGATAAAGACACAACTCAAGTCTTTCTATTCCGCGACAAAACTGATAACAAAGATACGACAGTTATAGCCTTTAGAGGCACCGAACCATTTGATGCAGATGCTTGGTGTTCAGATTTTGATATCTCTTGGTATGAACTTGAAGGCATAGGAAGAATCCATGGAGGTTATATGAAAGCATTAGGGTTGCAGAAATCCACAGGTTGGCCTAAAGAGGAGATTAATCAAAACGACAGTCGTAAAGCTCCCTTAGCCTATTATGATATTAGAAAAATTTTAAAAGAAATACTGGCAAAAAACAATGAAGCAAAATATATAGTGACTGGTCATAGTTTAGGTGGAGCACTAGCAATTCTGTTTCCTGCGATTTTGGCATTCCATGATGAGAAAATGCTGTTGCAGAAATTGGAAGGAGTTTACACATTTGGGCAACCTAGAGTTGGAGATGAAAGTTTTGGTCAATACATGGAAAAGAAATTAAAAGAAAACGATATAATTTATTACAGATTTGTTTATAATAATGACATGGTTCCTAGGTTGCCTTACGATGATTCAGCTCTTATGTTCAAGCATTTTGGGACCTGCATTTACTATAATAGGCACTATGAACCACAGGCATCCTTCTAACAATTCTTTATCTTTTTTCGGTTATAGTTTAATTATTAATAATAAGAATATAAATTAATAACTGCGAAATGTTTCTTCTGGTTTGAAAAAATTTGCAGGTTGTTAAAGAAGAACCAAACAAGAACTACTTCTCGCCACTCAGAGCAATACCGATGATGATAAATGCTCTTATGGAGTTAATAAGAAGCTTCACTATTGTGCACACCAAAGGACCAAATTATAGAGAAGGTTGGTTTATGAGATTGTTTAGGTTTATTGGATTAGCTGTTCCTGGTGTACCTGCTCATTGTCCCCAAGATTATGTTAATGCGACTCGTTTGGGTTCTGCTCAAGTATTTTTGCTACCTCAAAATGCATCAAATTGAAAATGTCATTTCAAAGATATATTTATATGATTAATAGTGCTAATTGGAGCATAAATACATTATTTCCACTAGGCGAGCCAAATGGGTATCTTCCTACTTAATTTGTAAAGATGGTGATGGTGATTTTGTTGTGCTTAATTGCTTGTGTTTTATTTAGTTTGTGTTTTTTTTTTCAATTTATTGATTAATGAAAATGGTTTCTCTATAAAAAGAAAAATTAAAAATGTAGTTTTAAATATCAACATAATCTTCTTAGATGTGTGGAATAGTAAAATGGAAAAATTATGCTTATGAAAATATATTAGAAAGAAGGAAAACTTTTAATATGTGAAGAAAACAAAATCTCTCTCTCTCAATATATCACCCTCAATCAAGCAAAATGCCTTTTTTTTTTTCGCTATCTTCACTAATCGAGTTCAATTAAGTTGAGAAACTCTTCTCAAGCCTGCATTTAATCTCTCTCTCTCTCTCAATATATCACCCTCAATCAAGCAAAATGCCATTTTTTTTTCCGCTAAATATCTTCGCTAATCGAGTTCAATTAAGTTGAGAAACTCTTCTCAAGCCTGGATAAATGCAATAATTGAAATTTCCAAATAGGTTAGTTGACTTATATAATATATCTAAAAATTATAAATCATGCACACCAAGACATTATCTAATGGTAAGTGCATATGCGACCTTCTATTATGTTTGAACTCATCCCCTCTTCTAATACTCAAAAACAAATATATATAAAAATCAGATATGTGAATAACTTATTTTAAGACCATACATATATACATTAAAGAATACAGTTGGTTTCACTTATTATTCAAATTTTTAATGATTTAGAAAAGGTAAAGCAACCAATAATCAACAAATTAGCAAATTTATTTCATGTCTTCAACGAATTAAACCACTAACAATTGGTTTTTTCCTTAAAAATTAAAAAGCCCAGTGGCCCAAGATTCGGCATATCCGTACTTTTCTCCCCCTTAAGCTCAGCCACCATAAAGCCCGAAATAGACCAGACCCAGACCCAGACAGTTTGGCGCGTGCGAACGAGAGAGAGCAGGAGAGCTTGGTAGGTATAGGCGGGGAAGGAACCGTTCGAGGGAGAGGGGGAGAGGGGGAGATCCGAATTAGGGTTTTGAAATTTCCATACATCGAAAGGTTAGTGAGCGTGAAAAATCTCCCCCAATTATCGAATTCATTGTTGACGCTAACAATTTTCACTTTTATTGTGTGTTTTGTTGTTTTGAGTCGTTTGAGAAATTTCTTTTTAATATTTCGTAAGAGGAAATGGTGAGTTTGATTTGGCATTTGATGTTTGTTTGTGAGAAAGAGGTGTGCTTGTCATGTGCAGGGGGCGACCAGGTGTGTGAGAGAGATAGAGAGAGTTTTGTTAGTCTGCTAGAGCTAAGAGAGCGATACCGAACGAATTTGAGTGTTAGGGTTCCCCATCTCCATCTGTATTTCGCTTGTAGCAACAGTTATTCAAGTTTCTCATGGAGCGAAAGCTTGTGGTTAGTTATTTTGATCTTTGTATCTCATGCACATATCTTAAACTTTTCCTTTTTGTTCCTTTTCTTATTTGATTAATGATCAATTATGTTGTTTGCAATTGAATTATAGGTTTTGGGTATTCCATGGGAGGTGGATACCGAAGGTTTGAGGGAATATATGAGCAAATTTGGTGAACTAGAGGATTGTATTGTCATGAAGGTTAGCCTTTTTCTCTGTTCAAACATTGAAGTTTAGATTTTTGTTTCTGTTGTTGCTTTATTCCAGATTAACATTCTTCTATTTGTTGCTTAATAATCCGCCTATTGTGGATTTTTAATTTTACAACTTTTAAATAGATTGCAATTATTTTTTCCTGCCTTATTGCTCATTTCACGCCTAAAATTTTTAATGGATTTCATGAACTTATATTGCAAATTTGCAATGTGTGACAAAATCTTGCACTTGCATTTTAGACTAAGATGTTTATCATGTTTAACTGGCTAAAGTATTCTTTGAGATGCTTAAAGCCAGTTTTGTTGCAGAAGATATACTGATGCAGATGATTATACATTCACATTCTTATGGATAACTTTTACTATTAGGACCCGTTTCTGTTGACCAAAAAAAAAAAAAAAAGAGAGCTGCCTTCGTTTGACACGCGGACTCCACCTTTCTGCAACATTCGATCCTGATACACGCTCACGATATTTTTTTATGTTTTTGTTTTCTGATTTTATCACTTCAGTGTAAAAAAAAAAAAAAAGAGAGAGAGAGAGAGAGAGAGAGAGAGAGAGAGATGCTTAGTTTGACACGAAGGACTACACTTTCTGGAAACATTCAGATCAAATGATAAACGCTCAAATATTTTTTTATTGTTTTGTTTTCTGAAAAATTTTAATCAAACATTCAGTGTCTTTCTTGTTTCCAGTCTATAGTTGGTGGATTATTAGATACAAAATTAGAGGTTGAGTAACTGTTATCCTAGCTAGTAACTGAGTTTTAAGTTATAGAATTGTTTGGGTGCTTTGTTATTGGAATGAATTTGGACTGGATTGGCACCACAGCCATGAATTTAAGGAGATTGGCTAAATGGCTTGGATAAACATGAAAACAAGAACTTAACTAATTGTCACTGTTTCACTTTGATTTAAAAAATGGAGGATTGTGGCTCTTGTGGACCAACGGCACTGTTTCATTGTGATTCTAAAATCAAAGACATTAATTGGAGAAAAATACATCAGCCCCCTAAAAGCCTGTTATTAAATAGCTAGATCACAAGTGATATTTAAAGCCCTGGTTTGAGATATCTGGTGTGAGGGAGGGGGTAAATTTTCTACATGGATTTGTAACAAAACTTTGGGTCAGAATGTAATTGTTAAAAGCAGCACTTCCTATTCTTCTGCTATAATATGCAATGAAGCTTTCTACATATCAATACTTGGTATTCATGTGTGAGATTTTCACATCTTGGTGACTTCATTTCCATAATTAGTTGGAATCAAACATGTTGACCTTGAAATTTGTTTTGTCTTTGGATTAGTTATTGATTTTGTTTTCCTGTTGTACCTTGTCCATGTTTTAGGAGCGTTCATCAGGTCGTTCTCGTGGTTTTGGATATGTAACATTCACATCAGCAGAAGATGCAAAGGTAAAAACCATTTGTAGATTGTTGGTATTCAATCTTGATTTTTTGTTTGTCTTGGGTTTTTACTGTGCAATAGTCTGTTGAAATTTGAATTCCTTTTCCAAATCTGTAATCTTATATCCTCTAGGATAAGCTATGATGTTTGAATTTTGCTGGCTGCAGAGTGCACTATCAAGTGAACACTTTCTTGGGAACAGAATGCTGGAAGTTAAAGTGGCCACACCGAAGGTTGTGCCTTAAAGATTTCAAATATTATATATACTTTCTCCCCTTTTAACCTTCAACTTTTGAGATTATATTCTGTACTCCATAATACATATGCTATTCAATTATGAGCCTCCTAGGAGTAAGATTTTACATGCATGTGTGCTTTATTTTTAATTTTCTTTTAGCAGGAGGAGATGAGAGCACCTGCAAAGAAAGTGACAAGGATATTTGTGGCAAGGATTCCACCATCTGTGACTGAAACAGTCTTTCGAAGGTAATTGAGTATGATGATGTCAATTGAACCTTTTTTTAGTCATTTTCTTTTTGTTCTTCAAATATTACCCTCATACTCTGATGAGATGTTTATGAACTTGATTTTGCAGTCATTTTGAGAAATATGGTGATATAATAGATCTGTACATGCCAAAGGTGAGCTCATATCACATTTACTCTCTCAGTCTGTGTTTGTGCAATGCATCTCTTATGTTTTGAATGGCCTTTACAAATGTTGATACTTTCATTCCTCACTTTGAATGAATAAATAAAAGTCAACTGATGTGTTATGCAGGATCATAGCTCAAAAGCACATCGTGGAATTGGATTCATAACATTTTCCAGTGCAGGTGAGACCAACTTGCTCCCTTCCAGTTGTTTGTGCTGCAAAACTAAACAATTTGCATCCAGTGGAATTAACTCTCATAAAATACATGTATGAATGCAACAACTAAGTCCTGGTCCAAAACTAGTTGGGATTGGCTATATGAAGATATGTTGTAAATACTTATCTAGGCATTCAGCTTATTTATGCTCTTGAATCCTGCGTTCTTGTTCTTCTTCATCTGTGGGCCATTGGACTCGTATCTGCTTACTTCATATAATTAAAAAATATTTTTTTAAGTGGTATTCCTGCTTATGTATTAAGGTCTTCCCACCTGTTGGTGTATGAAGATCACATGACTTCTCTTAGTAAGTTAGTATGCAGACATTGGCATGCTCTTTATTTAGATCTATTTATTGTTTTCAAGTTTCAGTTATTTGCTAGCCTTTTGTTCAATAAATGAGTAATATTATTATTCTACATCAAGGGTTGAAGTACCTAAACAATATCATTTTATCTTCTTTGCTACAGATTCTGTGGACAATTTGATGGCGGATAATCATGAACTGGGAGGTTCCACTGTAGTTGTTGATCGAGCAACACCCAAGGCAAGTTATAGAAGAGCTGCTTTTCACTTTAAACTAGGTTATCTTTTACGTTGTAGATGAAAGTCTCTTCTCTTTTAAGTTATGCATTTTAAGTTACTTTATGGGATGTATAATGTGCCATTTTTTTTCTAATAAAGTTACGTTTGAAGTTGATTTATATTTGTCTTTTGTGATGTTAATGTGAATGATGTGCTATTATATTTCCAGGAAGATGATTTCAGACCAGTTGGAAGAATGTCACACGGTGGATATGGCGCATACAATGCTTATATTTCTGCAGCTACTAGATATGCAGCACTTGGTGCTCCTACTTTATATGACCATCCAGGTCCACTATATGGAAGTAAGTACCACTTTGAGTAGGTTTATGCGCAATTATTTCTTATTTTAGTATTTTGGATACCTATTCTTTGAATTTAAGGGCAAAATTGAAATAATTTTGAAGGTTTATATGTGATTTTGGGAAAGAAGTAGACTAGGCTATAATTGAACGAGCAATAGTAGTTCAGGATATGTTTGGTAATTAACACTGAAATTTGTTAAGAAAAGTTGATTTTATCATATTTGTTGCGTTAGTAGGGGAACCTGCTAGGGGAATGGGCAAAAAGATCTTTGTTGGAAGACTTCCTCAGGAAGCAACTGCTGAAGACTTGCGCCAGTATTTTGGTAGATTTGGTCACATATTAGATGTTTATGTTCCCAAGGTACGATATCAATATTTGTATTTTATAGATGACAGGCGCTCCAAGATACTTGTTGAGATGTGAATTCTTTTTGAGTGTAGGACCCAAAGAGAACTGGCCACAGAGGTTTTGGATTTGTAACCTTTGCTGAAGAAGGCGTAGCTGATCGTGTTTCTCGAAGGTCTCATGAGATTTGTGGACATCAGGTATTAAATTGAACTTTCTCTTGTTGTGGTGTATTTATATCATGTATCTGTAGTTAATTACTGTGGCATAAGAAAGAATTATGCAAGATATATTCTTTATCCCTAAGGAATTTTTAGTGATATTATGGTAATTTAGCAATGCATTTATTTATTTTTAATAGTAGGGATTTTTCTGTAGTTCTATGATATGCAATATTATGCGAGTCTGGGGTGAAAAACAGTTTGTTAAATACATTGCCAATCTCAATTATGCGGTATTATGCCTCAAAGTAGTAATTCTTGTTTATATTGACTTGCCGTTCAGGTTGCAATAGATTCAGCCACACCTGTTGATGATGCTGGCCCAAGTGGAAATTTCATGATGAATGCTGCTCCATCTTTTGGTGGTTATGGTGGTCCTTTGCGCAACTTTAGCAGAATGTATGGAAGCCTGGATTTTGATGATGTGAGTATATAAAGTTCCTTCTAAAGCAAAAGTTTGGAAGATAATGAGTTCTTGTAGTTCATTTTGCAGCATAGAGCAGACTTTCTTGTAGTTTCAGCTGTCAAATGATTATTATTATTATTATTATTATCATTTTTATTGATTTGCAGTGGGGTTATGGAATGGGTAGCGCAAGGCCTTCAAGAGCAGATTGGAGGTATCGGCCATACTAAGTGTTGTGGCCTCGGAGAACTGGGATTGCTCCACTGGTGTCTACAAGATGTGCAGGCTTTCTGATCTAAGTTTTAAGAAAAATAGTAAAATAAGCATTTGACTTTGACAATTTTCTATTATTTGATTTGTGGATGATGCTTACTTGGTACGTTCATTATCAAATGCCATGCTGTTCAAAATATTATTTCTGGCGGCATAATAGACCTGTACAAATTTAACCGGCCAAACATGTTTGGACCAAAGAGTATCACTCTCCATGTACTATGAGGCCAAACATGTTTGGACCAAGAGTATCACTCTCCATGTACTATGACTAAAAGGTCATTTTTATTGTAGTTAAATTATTTAGAATTAAATTGCCATTCAATTGGTTATCAACACCAAAAATATTTCAGATTGGATATGGATATTGTTGATGGGGTCTGCATTTTGTACTGCGACAGAATGTTTCGGGACTGTTTATCTGTAGAGAAACGGAGTAGTCTCTTAGAAAAGTTTTCTAAGAAAATTGGAAGATAGAATGTTTTTCTTCTCAAGAAAATAAAAAATAATAAAAAAAGGGTCGGGGGTGGGGGGTGCGATTGTTGCAGACTAATCTAGAAGGATGCTTTATATACTTTGTGCAAATTACTTAGTTTCATGATTTACAAGGTGATCCATTCAGTAAAATATCAAATAATGGTACAAAATTCATCAGTTGAAAAAGGAAAGAACCGAGGCCTAAAAACAGCAGGAATGTGCAAAATTTTGAACTGAGAAAAATTATACGGATGAGAGGGAGCTTGCACAAAGGATAAACCAGAAGGAAAAACGAGGAAAAATTAGGAAGCATGGCAAGTAAAGCAACTGCTCAAGAAACTCAACCTTGCATGCCTATGAAAGAAAGAAATCTTGTGGGATATCTTGGATAATTGATGTTCCTCTGCGGCTGACACTGTATTTCTCATTTCCTGCGCTCTGATCTGAGCCTTTCGTAGTTTGTTCAAAATCTTGTCCATCGATAATGATCTCTTCTTTTCCAGTTTCATCTGTAAACCAGCACTTATGGTTAGTCAAGGCCAAGTGTCAATGCATCAACTTATATATAGGCAAGCAATTAAGGGCATAGGAAAAATGAAAACAAGAAGAGAACGAAAGCAGAATACTTTGAATTGTTCCTCCCTAACATTTTTTGGTTTTTAACTGTAACATCCAAAATGTGATATAGTTATAAAAAATTGTGTGTAACCTCAAGTTTTCGTATTGCTGCCTCTGCTTTTGCCTTCTGCAAGTTCTCCCATGCTATGATTTTGGCTTCCTCCCTCTGCAACCTGCATTAATAATTGACCATATTTGGTAAGTTTCTTTGGTATAAAGAAAATATAAAGTCCTTCTGAATGCAAACAGTAGGAGATGGGAATCCCTTTAGGCTTAGGCCTAATATCTTTTATGCCTTTGCATCAAAAGATTTGGAAGAACGGAGTAAACTAAAGAGGTGCAAAGGAAATTACTTGGAAAATTCTGATGATGCTTCTGAAACATCCCAAGATGAAATGCGAGGGTCTATTGGATTTTGATTACTGTCCTGAACATCTGGCAATCCTTTTTTAGTTATGGAAGAACCATGCCTTCTGGTCCTGCTAATCAGGGTGGCTCTTTTGTCTACCTGCACTTCTCTGATGTCCAATTTAGCAGAAAGGTCACTTTGTTCTAAAGCAGGGATAGAGGAAGGAGAGGAGGACCTTGCTCTAGGAGATGAGCAGGTACTACCCTCAGGACTCATTTGTGTTGCCATATCCCTTCTTGAAACGACACGATTTACCGTGTTATCATCATCATTTATGTTCTCAAGTTTCTCATCTGTACAGTTGATTTAACAGCAATCAGCACATATCAGAAAGTTTCTGAATTCAAAAAAAAAAAAAAAAAAAAAAGGCAGTACTACCTCAGGACTCATTTGCTGTTGCCATATCCCTTTCTTGAAACGACACGAATTTTACCGTGTTATCAATCATACATTTATGTTTCAAGTTTTCTCATCTGTACGTTGAGTTTAACAGCATCAGCACATATCAGAAAAAGTTCTGAATTTCAAAAAAAAAAAAAAAAAAAAATCATTTTAGAAACTAAAAGAAAAAAAAAAAAAAAAAAAAAAAATCATTTTAGAAACTAAAAGGACAGAGAACTAAGAAAATGAATTTGTCCTAAACGGATGATATGAGGTGACTAGCAAACTCCGTAATCACTAAACCTTATATTTGAAAATTAGACCATTTGTATTTATATGCATTAAAATCCCAGTTCATGTATCTCTTGGTTCGAGAAAGAAAAATAAGAGGATCAAACTAATTTTTGACTCTATTAAAATCGATCCCTTGATGCTTAGCTCTTTCATCTCATATAAGGAGTAGAAAGCATTCTAACACTTGTATCAAATAATTTACACTTAAAAGAACAAACTGAGGAAGAAAAATACAAATTCATAATTGGTATATTTCCACTAGCATTTCTTTTTTGTCCACCTCAACATATTAAGTTGCATCTCCCCATCTCCGTACGACAGCAATATGCTAAAGTTCAATTGACCCACCAACCTGGACTTGAACCACAAGTCCTATGATTTGGGTATAGTTGCTGATTTTAATGCCTCTACTCTTTGTTTATTAAGAACAGAGAGTCTTAATAATAGAGCAAATGAAAGCACAATATATCTTATAACAATATGACTTCCAAGGCAATTAGGCCACAAAACTATACTTTGGTGCTTAACAAAAGCAGAACTTGTTCTTTCAAAAAAAAAAAAAAAAAAAAAAAGCAGAAGAAGAAGAGGAAGAACTTGAGAAATTAGGTTATGATCTAGATTTATACGGCTTTAATTATGGTGGGCTACTGGAATAAATAGGTTTTCTGCAGGGCCTCCACAAAAAAAAAAAAAAAAGCAGAAGAAGAAGAGGAAGAACTTGAGAAATTAGGTTATGATATAAGATTATAGCTTTAATTATGGTGGCTACTGGAAATAATGGTTTCTGCAGGGCCTCCACTATAAATTAAAAAAGAAAAAGAAATCATTGCCACCCAAATTCATTTTAAGCTCAAACATAAAGCTTTACAAGTTTCCTTTAGATATGGAAATCAAATACCCATGAAAACATCCTAGTTCTTTTCAATTGATTAAGTGCTTTTTAAAGTGATGACAATCTAATGTGAATACGCACAAAGGATAGTGCAACTAATACCTTGAGAAGTGGGCGATGAGCATTCACTCGCCAAATCTGACCAACCAGGACCACTAACAGAACGACTCACAAAAGCTTGCCCACCAATTCCACCACCCCCATTATAATTAACACCAAGTCCTTTAGGCATCAAGACTCCAGTAGAAAAAGGAGAATTTGCTATAAAATTTCTAACAGAAGCAGCATCAAGACCCTGCACTGAAGGCGAAGAATTAGAGTAGTAAGCAATCCCAGGAGGCACAATAGGCACAATAGGCCCACTTTTAGACTTGGGTCTTCTTTGAGGCTGACACTGTGTGTATTTAGTAACACCATAGCCTAGAACTGGACTAGAAATCCATCTCTCTGCGTCTTCCCATTTTGAAGGCATTGTTCTTCCACTGTAAAAAGGCGTCAGAGCACTTATATGCCTTCTGCTGCTTCCCGACGGACGTGGTACTCTCTCTGAACTCCATCCTTTTTCTTGATAATTCCCTGCTCCTGGGCTAGGAAATGCACCCAAACTATGATAAGAAATTAAATTTTTCTTCATACCCTTTTGGTTTCTGCAAAAAATGCGAAGTGGGTCTTTGCCAGTTTGCTCTTATTCACTTTCTAAGCAAAGAAATTGGAATTTCCATCAAAGACTGTCTGTGTTTGAGCAAGATAAAAGATAGCTCCACAAAGTAATGAAGAGAAGTTTGTTTGGAATTGAAAACCCATCTTTAGCTGTAATTTTGTTGGTTTCACCATCTGAGCATCGCAAATGGACAAACTTTTGGGTTAAACAGGAAATTTTGGTCGGACGATACTTGCAAGAAGAAGTGCAAGTGCCAACTCACGAGGGTCAATTCATGGCATTAAGAGTTACGAAGTAGACGAATTTCGCATTGATGTGATTTGATTTGTAATATTTGTTGAAACCGAATAAGAATTTATCGTTTTATGTTATTATCTTCTTCTTGAATCTGATATTTCACTATCAATGCAGTAACCCAGCGACAAATGAAAAAACAGACTATCAAAAAATGTGCATTGATGGACCCAAAAGTTCTTGACAGGCTATTTGGTGATATTTGTCTTTCTTTTATTTATTTATTAAAAAGTTCAATACATCATGAAATAATATCCGCTGTGCCTCCGGTCCTTTCCTAAAATAATTTGCAGTAAATGACTTATTTTCTATTATTTAATTGTAATATTAAAAATTAATTATTCATTTGTTGGAATGCAAATGTTGGAAATTCGAAATTATATGTTGCAAGTTAAATTAGGTCCCATGTGTGGAATTAGTACTATGAAATTTAAGGCAATTCATAATTGTAGCCTGTTGAGCCTCACCCATCATTATGTTTTTGTTTGTTTTTTCTGGGATATTCATCTGATTTACTGGTTACTGGTACAACTCCATTAATTTTAAGGGGTTAAATATAGAACGTACATAGCATATGAAAGTTAAGGGTTTTGAATTTTGTTTCTATTTCCATATAAAAGTCCTCAGTAAATGAGATCATGGGGAGAAAAATTCAAATGGGAAATCTGAATTTTGAAGGCAAGATTGTTAGAGAAGGAAGGCCGGCCATCGATCATCATTCACCAAATAGGTGAAAGAACAGGAGGAGTAGAGACAGTGATTGTCTGGTGCGATTTTTGTAAAAAGATTATTAATTTTTCCTCCTCCGTTTCTTCCTTTTGTTTTTATATATAATATTATTATTGTTCGGTGCAACGTTTGGAATCCCAAAACATCCAAAAAATGACAGCATCATCTTTCTCTGAATTCCGAAAACATGTTATGTTTGTTTTTGTTTATGAATTATGGGACTTCACGTGATCATCACATGCACTTCCTCTCCTCACAATTTGTTATGTCCATTTTCATTTCTACCAAAACGGCTCCTATTTTTGTTTTTTCCTTTTTTCTTAACTTTTATTATTCGTTTGTCAACTAGTTCTATTTCTGCAGGTTGCGTGGGTTGAATTAATTTTAAATCAATTGCATTTTAAATTTTAAGTAATTGAGATAGAACTGATTAACTTATAATATAACAAAATTATAACTCTCCACCAATCTCCATTAACTCTAGATTTGCATCCTATGTGTAAAGAATAAACTCGAGTTATGATGATGATTTTACTTCCTTTCCCCCCAGACTTCAAATGGGTAAAAAAAAAAATTATCACTCAAAACATCATCTAAAACAATTTAAAAAAAAAAAAATTCACCATAAACATCTTAACATTTGTAAATTAAGGAATAGAAGGGAGGAAGAGCAGAAGAAGATAGGAGGTTAGTTATACATATAGTTTAATATAGTTAATCGCTAGTAATTGGGAGTTTTGTTTCATTTGGTTTCCTTACTAACCTGGAAGAGGCCATACAAAAGGTAAAAATGACAGGCACAAAACACATTTTGATTGGATTCTGAGCACCTCTACGTAGATAACTATAAGCTATACACGAGAAAATAACTTGAGAAATGGCACTAACCAAGCTGAAAATATCAATATAAGTGTATGGGTTGTGATTTGAAGATGGAAAACGAAGCCAATAGCCAATACCTTGCCTTCTCAGATCAATGTTCTGTTTTTGTCCCTTACAAACAATCTCTACAATGCAAATAAACAGGGCTACGAAAGATACCACCAAAGCATAGAAGGCACAGCGAGGCCTTTTTGGAGAGCCAATTTGTTCCAGAGTCACCAATAAAATCTCTAGGACAAGGTATATGCCTGTGATTGCCCATTCCAAAATAGCCTTCAAAGAGAGAAAGGATGAGTGTTAAATTGGATTCAATTAATATTGAAAGCTTTAAACTTTTTGAAACTAATTACAACAAAAACATTTCTGTTGTCTTATACCTCAATATATATTTGAGAAATCGAGCACTGGAGAAAATTTTCAGAGACCGATGATATTGCTATGTCATGAATAATATTATCTCTCGATTCAAGATTAGTAAAAAAAAAATTGTTATCTACCTCTTCTTTTTCTACAGTTTTGTTAAATCGTACTAAATTTTCTTGGATCCATGAAAGTACTAATTTCTCTTTCACTAAAGTATAATCCTTTGGACATTTAATACCAAAAGCAAGACATTGCCTTAAATGAAACAAGAGATCAACATGGCTTAACTTTAGAATCATACAAATGTTGTAGTGGGAACGAACTTCCATATTATTTGATATCCTTTGCCATACTTCAACATTTCTTTCAGAGCACAAAAGATCTCCAAGCATTTTGGCAATTAAAGGTAAACCTTGACACTTCTTCACAATTTCTCTGCCAATAATCTCCAAACCTAAATAATTTTCATTGCAAGAACAATCATCATAAAAAGCATGCTTAGCAAACAAAGACCAACAGTCATCATCATTTAGTTGACCAAGAAAATGAGATTGACTAGAACCTAATGCTAACACTACACTTTGATTGCGAGTTGTGATAATAATTTTACTTCCTCCTGCACCAGCAGATTCTAAATGGTCTAACAAGAAACTCCATTCAAACTCATTATCATTCCAAACATCGTCTAGAACCAGAAGAAATTTTTTACCCATCAATCTTCCTTTTAATGCAGGTAGAATTTCTCGATTTGGTATTGGGCTCTTGAAATCGCAGGACTTTGCACTGACTTCTTCAAGAATATCTTTTGCTATCTTGAAAATATCAAATTTGGCTGCTGCACATACCCATACTGTGATATCGAACCAGTTCTGAACTCTAATGTCACTATAAACAAGTTTAGTGAAAAGGGTTTTACCAATTCCACCCATACCTATAATGGAGATTACTTCTAAGCCATTTTCATCTGCTGATAGTAGATTCTCTATTATGGCTTCCTTATCATCATTCCGACCGTAAACTGAAGACTCGTCCACTGAGATGGTTTTACCCATTTATAAAGGCTGTGGGAGTTGAAGAGGAAATTTTGATGGAAAAGAAAATGAACAACAGATTGAAATTCAATGTTGTTTTTGTGCTTTGCTTGTTTGCAATCAAATTAAAGGGTTCTGTTCTGGTTCTGGGTTTTTCGTTGTTGACTGTTGCTTGACTTGAATTAGTGGCTACCGTGGACTTGATTCACGCGTCATGGAAAGTTCAAGGTTACTACTGTGAAATTGTTTGGTTATTGTCGTTTTAGAAAATTATTTCAGAAAATTTGTAAAATGAAGTCTAATTAATGTCTGTTTTGCTCTTTCAGATTCTATATATTAGCCAAAGCCATCTTCAAGCTTTAATTGATCACTCCATCGTTTATTTCTTAGCAGCAATTTCAAGGAGTTCTTGTTTCATTTTCGATCTTTTAATTCAAGATCGTCTGTGTATAAACTGTACTGCAACAAAAACTATAGATGTGTTAGGTCGTTGAAAACTGAAGTAATTTTCAAGAAAAATTTTTGAAGATATTTATAAAATAGAATTTTATGTTCAAATCCGTAGATTTTTCAATATTCCACAGTTTAACTAAGATTTGAAAAAAAATTTTTAATTATATTCCAGTGTTTTTCTTTATAAAAAAAACATATTTTCCAACTGTTTCTCATTTTTTTTAAATCACATTTTCATAATTTAAATTATAATATATTTTATACTAAGCATTTGAAAACGAAAATTTTAATTATATTGACCCAAGTGTTTTTTCTTTATAAAAAGAAACATATTTTTTCCAACTGTTTTCTCATTTTTTTTAAATCAACTTTTCATAATTTAATATTATAAATAATATATATAAATATATACTAGTATTAATATATTACTATTATATTAGTGTATTAAGTATACATAAATAGAGATTTTTCTATAAATATTTTTTCCTTTGAAAAAAATCAAATATTTATGAATAGAGTAAAAACTTTATATTATTCTTTATGAAATAAATAATTTTTTATTACAATACTATTAATATATAGTTTTTATATTTTAAAGAAATTTACAAATTAATAAAATGATATTATTGAATTGTAGAATAATGCAATAATAAAATCAAAAGTTTGATTAGATCAGATTGGGCATATTGTTGAGGATAACATTCTTTGTATGACGATCTCATGGTGTGTATAAGAAGCGTTAACATGCGCGTGATATAACTATACATGTGTTTTGCATCGAAGGATATATGATGTGTGTCATCTCATATGTCTCTATATTGATGGTGATGATTTTCATCGACACACTCACTCACAGCACTAAGGAGCACGTTGTCAGGTGGCGGAAGAACGATCTCCTTCACAGGATTATTGCTTTGCCAGCCAAGCTAGTGCAGGACCACCGCTCTACGTTTTGTTTTGCGTGACGGCCGTCGCCGCGAATGCAAGGAGACGGCACCACGCGGTGTTCGGCCGTGAGGGGGGAGTATGGCTTTGGCAAGTCAGGACACACTGATTATGCAAGTCGCGTTGGGAACCCATGTAGATTTCGCACTCCAGGGTAAATGTTGTGGATGGTTTTGGACGTGCTGATCTTAATGTCGCTATATATAGGCGATAGTTCGCCAGTATCATATGCGCTGCTGCCCATCATGTATGTGTGTCATTAGTCTCAGTCTGAGCCCTCGCGGTTGTAATTTTATTATTACAAATACATTATATATTTTATTTTTAAAGAAATTTACAAAATAATAAAAAATGATATTATTATTGTAAATAATCAATAATAAAAATTCAAAATTTTTTATGTAAAAAAATTTTTTTACAATATTTTATTTCTTTTAATTATGAAAGTTATAAATAATGTTTATGAAGTTAAATTAAAATAAAATTTTTTATTGTTACCAAGTGAATGCATTTTATATTTTCTGTTTTCTAATTTTTCATTTTCTAAGAAATCTGTTTTCTTAGAAAATATAAAATAGCAAACAAGAAAACTGTTAAGTAAACACAAGCTATACACCTTAATCTCAAATTAGTAATTGTGTTCTTGTTATATATAATTTATTTGTTTTCTCTTTGTTCTAGGTCTTTTAATGTATATATCTTTTCTCTCATATCCTCATTTGAAGGTCAATGGTTTTTCTTTCAAAATATAAACCCCACTTTTATAATTTGACTTTTCTTAATTATGTCTTGACCTAGAGTGATATTCAATTAAAATTTTTTTTGATAACGATAATAACTACATATATCAAATCTCTAATTTTGCATATATAATAAAATATATTAATATATGTTGATACCTTGAGAAAAAAAAAAAAAAGGAAATAACAAAAATTTCATGACAAATGCTACCTCCAGTTATCCCTTTATTAAAATAAATTATGGAGCATGAGACTAAAATTAATATTATGGTAGCTTTTTTAACTTAAATATTTTTTTAAAAAGAAAAAATTATCTCCTTATAAATCTAAAATTAAGCTTTTTTGGATTATTAAGTGAAGATATTTGAGTTTAATATATATTAATAAAACGACCAAACATCAACGTCCATCCACATACTTGAATTTGTGAAGATAATTGTTGGTTTGTGATAAATTAATTGTGGTCCAAAGAATTATCAAAATAATTCTTTATTTATTGAAATTAATAATAAGTTGAAGTTGAAAGCAAATACCGATATTTTATTTATTTAACTACAAGAATTCTTTTATTTCCCTCCCTTAGTTTCGGTGATTCATTCTCTTATTTTAGTTCGGCTATGGATTTTAAATGGTGACTTCGTTCTTCCTTTTATTGATTTGGACCTCAATCTTTTATGATCGATTTCTATGGAGTTAGTTTTCTTTGAGAAATCAAAATTTTTAATTAGTTGTGTCTTTTTTTCTTTGATTCTTTAAAAAAAATTAACTAATTTTTAAATGTATTTCGCAGTGAAAATTTCATTTATGTATTTTGTTTTGTGCAACTTATCAAGAACCGTAATCCGGATTTAGTCACAGTTAAGACTTTTCACACACAAGAGCTTTTTCCACATATTCAGTCTGCATTCACAACTGAGCTACAATCCATAGGTTGAATGCATTTATTTTGAATACAAAGTCATTATTTACTCTTTTTTTTCTCTCGACCCGATAATTTATTTTGCGAAAATTACATAAATAAATAACTCTACTCATAGGAAATTAATAGTAGTAATTATTATTATTTGGTACCAAATAAATTGTCTACTAAGTGAAAACTATGGGCTTTAAAAAATCGTTCTTTTATTTGTCTTCTTAAAAAGGAAAAAAAACATTTTACTCGTTGGAGAAAAACAAGGAAAGCTCTTTAATCAACTCCATTGAAGTATAGTGGAGTGCTTACCAATCTCAACTCAAATACTAGCATTCTCCAACTTTTATTATTATTATTATTATTATTTTAAAGATATTTCCTCCCCACTTTCAAGAACCTTTTTTTTTTTTTTTTTTTTTAAAAAAACTCAATCTAGCAGTTCTCCAACTTTTATTATTAATTTATTATTATTATTTTAAAGAATATTTCCTCCCCTGTTCAGAACTTTTTTTTTTTTTTTTTTTTGAAAAAAGTAAAAATCAAAACCTTTTTTTTTTTTTTTTTTTTGAAAAAAGAAAATCAAGAATTATGTTTTCCAAACCATAAAATAGTATAAGAGTGATAAGGTTTTTGTTTGTTTAATAAGAGATGAGAGCAGAGCTTTAAAAATTCATAGTTAATCCGAAGGACTTAATATTATATTTTCCAAAAGCCAACTCTCGACTCCCAACACTAACCTTCGCATCGGAAATTAAGGAGGCCAAGTTTGGGGTAACACGTCATTATATTATATTGCATTATTATTTTATTACCATTAGCATATAAATCGGATAATATTTTAGGCAAATATGGTTTATGTTTGTCTCTATCACTAAATGGGAGTAGGTGAGACAAAAATTACACTGTTGTTTATATGGTTTAAAAAATACAACTAATTTATCATTGTATTTTTAAAAATAAAAAAATATTTTCATCATTTTATAAATTATTTAACTAAAAAGATGTAAAAATTATACGAAATGACCTCACAACCTGGTAAAAGTAAAATATAAAGATATTTTAATGTATTTCTTAAAAGACAGAGATATATTAATTGTATTTGGCAGACCACGCTACGCTCTTATGTTATGTTTATGTTTTTCGTCCACATTGCAAATAGATAATTCTATTTTTAAGTCAAAAATAAATAATTCTATTTTATTATGTGTACATATATAATTACGTTATTTACACCACAAAAATACGAATTAATTTTACAAATTAAAAATATAAAATAAAAACATTATGTTCAGCATAATTAAACTCTGATAATGAATATCATAAAAAAATAATTAAGAATTTATTTTATAATAGTTCATGAAATTACATATTAATAAAAAGAAAAATAAAAACACTGAGTTGTACAAGTATATGAGAACTATTTAATGAAGTTATTTAGTTTTTTAATCTTCTTATATAAAAAAAAAAAAAGTTAATATGTAGAATATTTCAGAAAAGTTTTGTACTAATATTTTATTTATATAAAATCTAAAATAACTAATTATTCCAAGTCCTGCTCAGTCCACCAGTACGCCGAACGCAATGTGGTGGTGGTGGTAAGTGGTAAGCCAAGGACCACAGAAACATGAACGCGTGTCCAAGATTTTTCATGTTGAAGTGCCACATGGATTTAAGCCTGCGCCAAACTGGTGTTCCTAATTTCTTGATTCAGATTCGTTAATTTTGGATTTATTGTATCTATTTTGCTTTCCCTCTCTGCAGTAAGTGGACCATAATCACAGCCATTTGATTTTAACTTGAAACTAAAGTTCTAAACCGGTAAACCAAACACCAGTAACAAAGAAACTTTCTAAATCAAGAAACAAGAAATTTAGTTCATTTTTTAGTTCCTTTTTCCTTTCTTTTCAGGAAATCATGGCATCTTCAACTTTGTTCTGCAACTTAATTAACCCTTCAATTTCAGTTTTTTCAAGAACCCATCTTCCATTTCCAATAGTTAGTAGCTCTTCAATGGAATTATCATCTTCTGCACACTGTAACTTCCACTTCAGAAGCAAGAAGAGTGAGCAGAACAAGAAATTGACACAAGTGAAAGCTGTAGTTACTGAGTCAACTTCTGTGGCTCAATCGGATGAGAAGCAGCCAGAGCAAAGGAAACCGCGGATTCTTGTTGCTGGGGGTGGGATTGGAGGATTGGTTTTTGCACTGGCAGCTAAGAGGAAGGGTTTTGAGGTGTTAGTTTTTGAGAAGGATTTGAGCGCAGTCAGAGGAGAAGGGCAATATAGGGGTCCAATTCAGATACAAAGTAATGCATTAGCAGCTCTAGAAGCTATTGATTTAGAGGTCGCTGAAGAGGTTATGGAAGCCGGGTGTATTACTGGTGATAGAATTAACGGGCTTGTTGATGGGGTTTCTGGTACTTGGTATGTTTTCTGAAAGTTTGTTTGTATTTATTTTTAAGATTTAATTTCATTCCTATTTAGTCCATGATATTTGGTCTACAGTTTTTGATTGCTTTAATGGACAAAAGAAAAATTATTTATTAAAAAAATTTTAAGCGTGGTAGTTGTTGAGGTGTATGTCAACAGAACTTGACAAAATTATTGGATCTTGATTCTTGTCACTGATGCAATTATTTTGTTGGTTCTTATTTGAAGCTAATCGCATGGGTATGGTATGCAGCACTAATTTCGGCTGCTTCGAAGACAACCAATTTTTAGATGTAGCTTTTAGTTTTTAATTCTAGTTCATGTCTGTTGAGTGGTATCTCATAACTGTTTATGGCAAAGGTTGATGATGTTGTGCTTATAAAAAGAAGAATAAAACATTTGATCAGCGTTAGATATTAGTAAGATTTTGCTCATCTACAAGAGTATCTAGAAGGATCATTTGTCTATTTTTTTTTATTTCTTTTTTTTTTTTTATATTTGAGCCAAGCCAAAATCAAATAGTTCGCATATAGAAAGTTTCAACCTTTTCTGTTGATTCCGAGTAGTTACTAAGTCAATGCTCACCAGGTTGATGATTACTCCTCCCCAGGTTAGAAATACGAAAAACTGTCTAGTCTAATAATCAAAATCATATGAACTTTAGAATATCTTTTTTTTTTTTTTGGCTGGCTTTCCTGGACAAATTGTTAGTCTCCAATCACATTGAATGATATATAGTTGGTTATCAGGTATGTCAAGTTTGATACCTTCACTCCTGCAGCAGAACGAGGGCTTCCAGTCACGAGAGTTATTAGCCGAATGACTTTGCAACAAATCCTTGCTCTTGCAGTTGGAGAAGATGTGATTCGAAATGAAAGTAATGTTGTTAGTTTTCAGGATGATGGGGATAAGGTAATATGAGCTGCTGTGAAAATTGTCTCTTCTAAATTCAACTTCTCACACAGAATGCATAAAAGGAGAAAAAAAAAAAAAAAAGCTTTTTTGGGTAAATATTTTGTCTTACTGAAAATCATTTGATTTACTGGTTTGTTGCATTATAGGCTTTTGTTAACTTCAGTAGTGGCATTTATTCAACTGTATTTTGCACTTTGCAAGTTTAGGTCACTGTGACCCTTGAGAATGGACAGCATTTCGAAGGTGATCTCCTAGTTGGTGCTGATGGAATATGGTCAAAGGTACAACCATCAAAAGCTTCCATATTGTTCTCTTTAAAAAAATAATTCAAAAAGAAGCACTTCAATTTCCTTGTAAATGATCTCAGCAAATGCTTGTGAAACTTTTGCTTCTAGTGCACGGCCATCATGTACCAAAAATATGAATTATGGTGCGATTTTGAAGATCTCATATGACTTTATCTGGTTCATAGGTGAGGAAGAACTTATTTGGGCCAAAGGACGCCACATACTCAGACTATACTTGTTATACTGGCATTGCAGATTTTGTGCCTGCGGATATTGAGTCTGTTGGGTATGCTTCATTCCATTATGCTACAAAATTTCTGCCACCACTAATTGTCTTTAGCTGAAGGATGACTTGTTCAAATTCATTATGTCCTGTTCTTATTCATTGGATTGAATAATGTATAGATGCTGATAATGAAACTTTTCTTCTGAAGGTATCGAGTATTTTTGGGTCATAAGCAGTACTTTGTTTCTTCGGACGTGGGTGCTGGAAAGATGCAGTGGTATGCATTTCACAAGGAACCACCCGGGGGTGTGGATAGGCCCAATGGTAGATACTCTTGATTCAGTATATTCTCTCTAAAGAACATTATATAAAATAGCTGTGAGGCTCAGAATTTTATGTTATTAGTTTTTGTGATCATGAAATTGAAATTTCAATGATTTGGTTGTTTAGAAGTAATTATAAAATAATTCCTATTTATTCGCAAGATACAATTGCATCTGACTAATCCTAAGCAAGTAACCAAGAAGTCTTAAACTGAAAGGATGAATTAAACATGTGCTTGGCATGGTGAAGCAACCAATATAGGAAACAAGCATGTTAGTGCGATAAAGTTCTGTTCTTTCAGATGCAATGATGTGAGAGAAATTATTTTCTTCATATGTTAATTGTATGACATGGTTTCTCTATTCATAACAACAGCTTGAGGGGCATTGGACTTCTAAATGCCTTCGAGGCACATTTATTTCTTTATATTTTATATCAAATTTTGAAACACTTTTGAAAATATTCACTGTTAATAGCACTTGTACGGAATACTCAATTTGATTGACAGAGATTAAAATGGTAATGACAATAATATTACCAACTTCCAATTTTTTCGCAGGTAAAAAGGAAAGGCTGTTGAAAATATTTGAGGGTTGGTGTGATAATGTAATTGATTTGCTGCTTGCAACAGACGAAGACGCCATTCTTCGACGTGACATATATGACAGGACACCCACATTAACATGGGGTAGGGGTCGTGTGACCTTGCTTGGGGATTCAGTCCACGCAATGCAGCCAAATATGGGTCAAGGTGGCTGTATGGCCATTGAGGTAAACCCCTACTTTCTATTAGAGCATTTGAAATTTGGAGTGGTTCTGTATTATGGTTTTTATCCTACATATTAAGGATGGCCTAGGGTCATGGTCTTGTAATTAACATATAGTACTCCTATCTATCCTTTTATGCTTCCTAAATTTTCAAGTTCTGTCATTTGTTTTAAAATTAATTATTTAATTTGCTACACCTCTTACAATTCAAATTATAATATAAATAAATGAGTGATAACATGTGCCTTAATAAAGTTATGATGCTCAAATGGTCGTATGGCTAAAGACAGCAAAAACTCACCTGATGGAAAAGTTAAAGCTCAAGAAAAACTGTATTTCGCTATGACAGGATGGTTATCAACTTGCACTAGAGATTGAGAAGGCATGGAAACAAAGCATTGAATCAGGAACCCCCATTGATATTGTTTCGTCTCTAAAAAGGTAAAGTATTTGTTTCTTGCCAAATAATCTAAAAGAAGATAAGATAAGTTTTTGAGGGATTAACCATTTGATGTGCTGACACATTAACCACTTGATGTGGGATGCCTCTTAACTGTCCGCAACATTGAGATAAGGGAAGCCTTTTTTTTTTTTGTTGACTTGAATGGAATTAATCTCATGTGATAACCAAAAGGATAAGCCACTTAGCTTAAAGCATATTGATCTGCATGTCTGTTTAAGGGAGTGGAGTGGTGAGCATTACCAAGTTAACAAGTGTTCTTGTTAAAGCTTATCCATTGGTTAAGATTTATTCATTTTTAAAATATGAGCGTTTAGAGGGAATTGGTCATGATATCCAAATTTTTCTCATTATTTTGTTATTATTTCTCTAATATATGTATGATTTTATTCTTGCAAGTAAAGCATCTGTATGAACAACAAATAATTTTTGTCTTATGTGAAGCGATGTGTACTCTGTAGCTCTGGACAATTACATTTCACTGTATGAATCTCTTCATTATTAGGATATGGCATTTGACTATCTTTCTAGTTAGCCTGAGCTTGTAGTTTTGATCCTTTATTTATTTCATTTTAATCAAGTATACTTAATAGATTAATGCTTCCAAATTTTCTTTGCAGCTACGAGAGAGCCAGAAGACTTCGAGTTGCCATCATCCATGGAATGGCAAGAATGGCTGCGATTATGGCCTCAACTTACAAGGCTTATTTGGGTGTAGGCCTTGGTCCATTGTCGGTAGGCATCTCTCTTGAATGGACATATTAACACCTGAATAGAAGGAATAAAATAAAACAGTATAAATTTATTCATACATAATCATGACAACTCACCTTTTGATATGGCTCTCAGTTCTTGACCAAGTATCGAATACCACATCCTGGAAGAGTTGGTGGGAGGTTTTTTATTGACATAGCAATGCCTGTAATGCTCAGTTGGGTGTTAGGTGGCAACAGGTTAGATCTTTGGAATCTTGTTTCCTTCTCCTTAATAGTTTTCACATTTAATAGGAAACCTCGTGTTATTGGAACACCATTATCAGAAAATTTATATATGCATTCGGGCATTTTTTTTTATATGCACAAGCTTATAATGTAACTGAAATCACATTTAAGGAAAGGGTTCTCAATCATTCCTATTCTGATTTTACTGGGAATGATGGAGAGTTTAGTGAGTACTTTCTTTTCTAGAACGTTAAGGTTCAATCATTTATGCAATGATACTGAAGGCAAGTTCTCGATACCAGAAAGTGCCTTTAATCATTGAAAGTGAGAAAGAAAGTATGATGCAGTTTATTCCATGAAACATTTTCACGTAGTAAAATAAATTCATAAGATCTATGTTGAAGTTAAAAAATGAGAAAAGTAAGGAAGTACTGACTCAAGTATTGTTTATTTTCTCTAATTCAAAAATATCTGATTTTTTTCTTGCAGTTCAAAACTTGAAGGGAGATCTCAATGTTGCAGACTTTCAGACAAAGTATGTTGCTTTCTTCACATTGTCTATATTTTCCAATGTTGCTCATTGCATTTTACATTGAAAACTGCAAGACTCTGATATGTTCTGGATCTCCCATGTGCTTGAAAATTTGTCCAGGCTAGTGACCAATTACGGACATGGTTTGAAGATGATGATGCGCTAGAACGTGCTCTCAATGCAGAGTATGTTTTGTGTTCTTGTGACAGTGAATGTATTTGGTTTCAAACTCTGCATATGCTTCACTCGAACTGTTCCTTGTCTCCCTTCCTCATTTTTTTTCCAATTTATTCTAAAACTATCTTTTTTCTTTTGTAGGTGGTTTCTTTTACCGTTGGGAAATAAGGTGGTTGTTTCAGAACCTATCTGTTTAAGCAGGAATGAGAACACACCCTGTGTTGTTGGGTATGTAATTTTAGATTGAATAATGAGTCATAACTCGTACTATATTGTTTAACACTTCTCTTAATGTGTTATTGGTAATACCAGGAAGGTATCACATAAAGATTTCCCTGGAATGTCTATAGTCATACCCTCACCACAGGTAATATTGTTGTCTAAGTTGGTATATTTAATGTCTTTGCTTTGGAATAAACCTTATAATTATGGCGTGGAGATCAAGGAGTTCACTTCTTTTAACATTTTATTTCAATAGGTATCCGAAATGCATGCTCGTATTAGCTACAAAGATGGTGCTTTTTATGTAATTGATTTGCAGAGCGAACATGGCACATATATATCAGAGTAAGTTGTGGGAATTAGGATACACATTTCTCCATTACTTCATATATTGATATGGAATTCTTCTCTAATGATTATAATCTCTTGACATTGAAGTGCTGATGGAAGGCGGTATAGAGTCCCTCAGAACTCCCCTACCCGGTTTCATCCATCAGACGTGATTGAGTTTGGTTCAGATGAGAAGGTGATAAACATAATCTTAGCAACTGAAGTTTAGTTCGTGAACTTAAATTTGGACTCTTTAATTTTTCCTTGTGAAGTTTGATTAGTTTCCTTGATTTATTTTTTTCTCTACTATCACCACTCTGGCATAATAGCAATGTTCATTATGTTTTCAGAATGAGTTTTGAGAATTAAAATGAAACCAATTTGAGCTTTCCATGTGCAGGCGAAATTTCGAGTTAAGGTGATGAAATCTCCTTCGAGGATTAAAGAGAAGGAAGGAAGTGAAATTCTTCAATCAGTATGATCATCTGCATGTCATTTTTTTCAAGTCACAAAGGAAGGTTTTGTGCAGCATTTATTTAAAGCAGTGAAGAATTGTAAATCTGCAGATTTATGGGTACATAGCATTACACAGAACTAGCAAAACATGTACAATTTTTTCAGTGAAACCTGAAACATGTAATGTAATTACCAAAAATTCAAAGAATCACCAATACAAGATTGTTAAGAAGAAAAGGTTTCTTTTTATTTTTCTTCTCTTTTTAAACGTCCATCAAATCCAAACCTGGGTATAACCCATAAGAAGTGGACCTGATGAGAGTCCTAATATTTAGGGTTTAGTACCAATGTTCTGTAAAAGAATAATAATTTTCAAAACAAAAAAAAAAAAAAAAAAAAAACCTGATGAGAGTCCTTTAATATTTAGGGTTTAAGTTACAATGTATCTGTTTTAAGAATAATAATTTTCAAAACAAAAAAAAAAAAAAAAAAATCACAGCAAGTCTGGCATTAAATTGGATCGAATCTCATCAACTAATAAGACAAAAGATAGGGCATTGATAGAGGTTAGAAACAGAAAAATTGCTGAAGTAGAACAGATAGAGGTTTCAGGGGAAAATGTGCAGGTCAGGTTTTTCGGTCTAAAAGCTAAAAAAAAAAAAAAAAAAAAAAAAAATCACAGCAAGATTGGATTAAATTGAGATCGAATCTAATCAACTATAAGACCAAAAGATAAGGCATGATAGAGGTAGAAACAGAAAATTGCTGAAGTAGAAACAGATAGAGGTTTCAGAAAATGTGCAGGTCAAGGTTTTCGTCTAAAGCTGAAATATGCCTACCTTAGCCCATTTCAGCCTGCACTGCGCACAACCCATAAATGATAAGTTTAGCACCAATTATTGAGCTACTGTCAAATTTTCATGCCTTGAGAGAGGGATAAAGAGGGGGACCAAAGATTCTTGGTCACCACCACATTGTATTGACAATTTTAATATCTCTACCCTTCAATAATGTAACAAGCAATTCATAATAATATTAAAAGCTATAGTCCAAGGCACCTTACTTCCTTCCCATGTCAATTTGGGGTCACCATTCAATTTTTTTTTTTTTTTTTCTTGACAGGCTCCAAACTTGAGATCTTGAATCATATTAACCTTTATCTACCATAGAAAATACACACCAAGTGCTACTATTGTCTCCCTTAATATGACAAAACAAACACTTATTTTCCAATTTTTGTGACCCTTCTAAGGGCATGATAGTCCTTCACCACCACTTCCCATCACCACAAAATGCACAAAATTTAATTTTCTTCCTTGATATTTTTTAAAAATTAAAATTTTTTCTTAATAAATTAAAAATATGTAAACTGATATTATTTTGATAAATAAGACGAGTTGGAGCTCAATCTCATTTGAACTCAGAATATTCATTTTAATAAGTTCAACATAGACTCGGCTGTGACCGTTGAATTATTAACCAATAAGGGACATAGATTCAATTTATGGTTTTCTAAAACATCCTATTTGAAATGTAGGCCCCATGAGTTGTCTTCGGATCCGGAAACAGTAAGATGGTAGAGAAGAGGTGAGCCCATGCCCATATTAAAAGTCCAAGAGTGAAGGTCCATTTTTCACACATGACTTCATATATATGGTTTCATTTCATTGCTTTCTTATAGTATACGTTTATTTAATTAATACATACATATGGTTTTTCAAGAGATTGGGTAGCACGTGATGAATGTGAAATGACGGTGGGGTTTGCACGTGACGTGTAACTGTCACCTTCAGGTGTGGCGGTGGTGGTGGCAGTGACCGTTGGAGCATTAATTACCAATGCATGGGATGCTGGAAACCTTTTTACTAGTCCAGTCTTGGGAGTTAATATGATTTGATTTATTCTTTTCATAATATTATGTTTTTGTCAATTCTAATTGACCAATTATTGTTTTTTAAGATGGAAACTTTCCCATGTAGCATCCAAGACTGATTAATTAGAATGGTTTGATCCTGAAAAAAAAAAATTTTTTTGATCCAAAAAGTTGGTGGTGTGATTTTTATTTGTTGTTTATTTTAAGGGTTGTTGAGCTTATAGCCTCATAACCACTTGGAAGTTGCAAAGTTCATATAATCTTGGTCAGCATTTGGTGGATGATAAGGAATTTCCAGCAAACAATCCTTTCTAGCATATGTGTATTACTACATGATTTGTCTTTCACCGTATGTATACTATTATTCATATCATCTCTATCACTTAATACCAAAATAAGTACAAATCTAGTTGAGATTTGATTCGTGGATATAAAAATGAACTCATTAATTAGTTACTAAAAATTAAAATTTGAATCGACTGATGAAATGCTAAAATCTGCGCAACGAAATCCTAAATAGTTATTAGTTATTTTAGTAGCTGTGAGTTGTTTTACTACCATTTCATTCAACTTAAAAGTTATGTCATCGTAAACTATAAATAATAGAGATAATATTTTGACGAGATTAAAATACTAAACATTACATTAAATGCGGTTACCAAGCAAAACTTAATTCTCTCCTCCTTTGGATTCCCATGGTCAAAATATTTGGGATTTATAATAATTTGTGAGCCAAAATTAGTGGTAAAGGCTAGAATGAAAATTCCATTGATTCACGCAGTAAAATGGCTTTAAGCACAATGAATAGTGATGAGAATGAACTTTTGTTGAATCAAAAAACCAAAAAAAGGAAGCCATTGAAACGATCCAAAGCTAAAATATACACTTCCAAAGCAAAATGAAACCCTAATAATTCACTGAATGAAGCCTTCTGAAAAGATCAAACTAAGTCAGTAATTTTCCAATTTTCATGACCCAAACCCAAATATATATTGTTTATTTATTTATTTATTTTGGCCTCTTACCGTACACTCTTCTTCACGTTTCTCCACATGTGGACCCACAACAGATGCTTCCCCAAATGTTACAAAATGAGCATTGACAAACCAAAACCCAAGTGGTACTACTTCATTATCTCTGCTTTTCCTTCCCTCTTCATTATTTGTATATTTCCGCCTTTTTTTTTGTTTTTTTGTGTCAGAATCAACAAATCATGATTTGAAAAAAATAATTATATATCTTAATTTTCCAAGCTTTTCGAAATTGCATGTCGATTTAAAAAATATCTTTTTTTTTTTAATTAGTATGTCTCAAATTTGAATTTTCAGTTAAAATCAAATTAAAGAAAAGCACTTTTGAAATTTTATTATTTTAAAAATTAATTAATTTTCTTAAATGTGCGAGATGGATCCTAGACCTAACAAAAGATTGAATGAGAGTGTGAATATTGTGAAAAAGCCTCAATAACACCATGGGAGTCCCACCTTTGCCTCCCCTAACTATCCCATCTCAATGTACGACCAACTTCGTTGAGGACCCTACGATCACATGGTCCCTACCCTTCATTTATTTACACTACATTCCAAGAATGCCCATTATTTTTCAATCAAATTACACAAATTTGCCAACAATTCCTATCCCAAATTTGGATATGGATTTCAAATCCACTTTCCCACTCCCTTAACACAGAAATTACAATAATAGAAAACAAGCACCTCGTTGTTGTGTCCCTTAAAAGCTAAACGGTGAGAAGTTTTCCTCTGTCAGGTTTCGCTCTGCAAACCCAATATCTTTATCTCAAATTCCAATGACCACCTTCAAAAAAAAATTATTAGTTGCTCTGTTTTTTTTTTTCTTTTTAAGATAAAAACAAAATATATTCCTATCTCTCAAAAGAAGATAATCTAAATTTTTTCTCTTCTTTGCCACTGGCCCTTATCAATCAACATCACTGGGGATTTTTCCTTTCCTTTCCCCAGAAACTGCACAACTGGAAATAGAAAGGAAACGAAAGCTAAAGGCTGAAGTCTAACTACACAACCATAGAAAAACGACACTTTCCTTGTTAAGACGACGACGTTTGTTCATCCTTGCCTTGAAAATGGTAAATAGGCTGCCCGAATATACAAACAAGGGACCCAACAACGGTGCTCTTTATTCAAAAAGATGCACACGTGCGTTGGTTATTTTAAAAAGGTGAGCCAGTTAAGCTCGATTATAACAAATTATTATTATGACATAGTGATCAAGTATTAACAATATGAGCTGTAGCCACTTAATTAATGTGTTAAAAATGAAATTAAAGAACGTATTGTATTTTCATAAAATCGTTAAAGTGGTAGAAAATTAAAAAATAAAATAAAAGAGAAAATATAATAATTATGATGCCTCATTTAATTATTTATAAATATGAACAATAATGTAATTTGAACTCTCTTTCCTTTTTTTTTTAAATCTTTTATACGCTTTGTTTCATCGTACAACACGTCTCCCCATATATTTTCAATTTTTACTATTCAAAAAAAGGGAAAACCCAACCGAGGCTTTAAAAAAAGAAATTAAAAAAAATATCTCGATGCTGCCTTTATGACCGGGAAACCGACTCTGCCAATTTCCCGATTTTCTCAACTAGCCCAGGTGACAGTTTCTTAGCCGGTTTCCTTTCTTTCTCAGGTCGAAAATCAAATCCTAATGCATCCGAAACTTCCTCGGAGCTCCACCCGGCTTTTCGAAGTGAATCCGAAAACCGATCCGCTTTTAGAAGCAGAGCATCCAGGACTGCTTGATTGTCCACCAAAACCATCTCGCCTTCAAAGAAGCCGGATGCTGACACGTGGACTATATCGGCTATATCCGTCTCACTCCACCCGCCTTCCCTTAAAACCGACCCGATTTGGTCTATGTAGTTTTCTGCCCATTTAGGCATCTCCGATCTCGGCATATCGAAGAACCTCTCTGGGGAGGATGATTCCGACGAGGAAGACGCCGAATTTCGCCTCCGTCGGTCGACGGCTGCGTCGGTCCAGAACTCTACCCATCTCGGAGTTCTTGCCCCGCTTGCTATACCCGTATCCAAGCTTCTCCGCGAATAATTAGTGGAAGAACCAGCCGATTTCTCGCTGACGGATCTTTGCCTCTTTAGAAGTATAGGGTCCGATTCGGAGCTTCGGAAGAGAGACTCACGGTCGAAAAAATCAGATAGATCCAAACCGCAACAAAAGATCCGATTCTCATCAACGAAAAAGATGGGATTACCGGCCAAAGAAGGGTGACAAGGAATGTAACAATGGTTGAAAATGGGAATCAAAAGCGGAGCTCTCTTTAGTGCATTTCTCGCCACTCTTAATGCTTTTTCGGGGTCGGATGGCCTCGGGCCCCACGACTTGGACCAAAGAGTGTTGCGTGCAATTTGAAAGGAAATAGCAGCGATTGGAAGATCAAGCGATGCCCGAAGATGGAGCCGTGCACCGGCGGATCGCCAATCAGGGAAACCAGGACCAACAGGCAAACCAGCGGAGAGTACGGCGCGAAGATCGGGAGGAAAAGCGAAACCAAACTCAGCTTCAGCCCGTGCAAACTCAGCGTCAGATAAACCCGGTTGAACTTGGATACCCGAGTTTCGCAAATGGGTTACAACTTTATCAGCCAGAGAGGAGAAGGAGACTAGACCGTTACGTACAGGAAGAGATGTAGCCGTTGATGGAGCGGCAGCTCGAGCAGAAAGACGGCGCAAACCAGCTACATGAGCCGGGTTTAGACCCGTCATCCTCCGGTCGACGTCGACCATTGTGGTTACAAGAAACCTGCAAAGTTTCTATAACTCAGTTTCTTTATTATCTCAGCTCTAGAAGAGGACGAAGGAACAGAAGTTCTAGGCCTAGGCTTTGTTTGTTTAGCCTTTGAGTGCTAAAAAGGAAGGAGAAGAAGTGAAAATGGAGAAAAGTGAATGCAGCTGTCTGCGTGGGTGCTTTTTAAGGAGGAGATAGAGAGAGGGAGCTTAGAGTTTAAAGAAAGGGTTGATATTTATAGCTATAAAAGAGTGGATCTCACTTGTGAGATTTTGGTAAGTGGTGAGGTGAGATGCTATTGCATTGGAATTTCCTTAATTAACCTTGTTGGTTTAATCATAATTACTGAGTCAAGTGTGGGAGAGTGAAAGAGGGCGTGGAACAACGGCTCCTTAAAGCAGAAAAAGTGTGGTAATTGGGTGGTGATTATGTTGGGAGCTTCTCGCACTTAAACCTCTTTTTTAACGGCTATTAGCATTGGATTTCTTCTTATACAAAATTGATTCGTTCGTTTTGTTCTATTATGTACATTCTAATTCATTCTAGTCATTAGTTGTATTAATTTATTTCTTACTATATCTATTTCATAATATTTGTTGCATTTAAAATTTGAAATCTTTTAAAAAATTAATTAAATTTACCTAAGTTATAATAAATTTTAAATAAATTGATTATATTACCTTTAATTTAATATTAATTTATATATTGATCATATACAAATGGTAAATATGAAAAAAAATTATTATTTCATGAAATCACAAATGTGACAAGTATTATATTAATAATATTTAAATAACAGTTTTTAGAACAAAAAATAGCCTTTAAATTAATAATCATTATTTTTTAAATTTATCCAACACTTCAAACTAGGAATTAGAAGCAAATTCACCAAACATTAATTTGTAATTGCTGATCAATAGAAACACTAAATAAAAGAAAATCAGTCATTGATACCACAATTAGTTTTTATAATATGTGTAGTTATACGCTAATAAGGATTTTTCTTATGATTGTATGCTTTTGCTTGAGGTATGAACAATCCATGGCCCATAAGGAATCATACAATTTTGTTGACAGACAGGTAAGATAAAGCGAAGCACACAATCATAATGGCACCTAGTTGTAGAGATGGCCATATTACGGTTTCGGGAACCGGAACCGTCGGTTCGAACCGGTCCGGAACCATAACCGGAACCGGAGAATTCCGGTTTGGTTCCGGTTCCAAATTTTCTAGAACCGGAACCGGCGGTTCCAGAGAACCGGTCGGAACCGGACTGGAGAAACCGATCGGACCGGACTGGAAACCGCCGGTTCTCCGGCCGGTTAGAACTGCCTGTTCGAACCCGGCGGTTTCCTAGACAAACTGTCAAGGTTTTTTTTTTTTTTTTAAAATTTTGTTTGTGAAATCTCTTAATTATGTTCAAGTCTCAACACAAATAAATTTTAATTGAAAGTATTTTTTTAAATTTTTTAGGTGTAACTCTTTTTAATTTTTTTATGTTCAAATAATATATTTTTTTAAACCAGCTCTTTCAAAATTTAAAATATATGTTCAAACTTTTTTAAACAAAAAATAAAATTCAGTTGAAAATTTTTTTTAAAAAAATAATTATGTTACAAGTCTTAAAAAAAACAAATTTAATTGAAAAGTATTTTTTAATTTTTTAGGTTATCTTTTAATTTTTTATGTTCAAATACAAATATATATATTTTTTAAAACCGGTCTTCAAAATTTAAAATTATGCGATTCGCCGGAAAACCGATCGGAACCATCGGTTTTGTAATCGGATCGGAACTGAAATCGGACGGTTTCAAACTAAAACCGGAACCGGACCTTTTCGGTTCGGTTCCGGAACCGTGGCCATGCTTACCTAGTTGTATGCTAACGTTAATTAATGGCTCTCTTTGTTTTATTTTATTTTTTAATTTTTTTTTTCTATTATTATTAATATTATTATTTTAAGGGAGCTTTATAGTAAAAAGTTAAAATCATTGGATATCCACACAAAGAAGATTAGCAAAGATAGAGATTGCTTTATTGTCATTCATTACGATAAAATTAAAGCTTAGTGATCACTGATCATTTTCACTTTTTTTTTTTTTTTTTTTTTTTAGTGTCCCTCTCCTTTTAGGAATTTTTTTTTTTTTTTTCTTTAGTTCTCTCTTTTAGGAAGAGAAAAAAAAATAAAAATAAAAATTTATATATTAAGTATTAAGGATATTAACTAAATGTTCCCCTACAATGCTGCACATTTTTGGCGACGCTTTGGAGAACTATGATTGGATAATTTATTCCTGTATTTTGCCAAAATTAACTAACTATAGTTTATCTATGCATTATAAGATAATGGTATAAAAAACGATGAAAGGATAAAATAGTATAAGGGATGGAAAATCTGAGGAAAACTCAACGTATTTTAAAAAATATAGGGATAGACGAATGTATTTTGATAAAATTATAAAGATATAATAGTAATTTACCGATAAATTAATTATTTATCTTTTTAATTGCGCACTTAAATTTATCATAAATTTCAATTTTCAAAATGTAATCAACATTCAATTTATGTTCAAGTTTGATTTGTTTTTATTAATTAATGAATGAATTTTAATCTTATTTTTATTAAGTTAAATTCAAGTAGGCTTAATTATATATAATCGTATTGAGGAGACATTGTAAGTAAGAATTAATATTTTTTAATTCACTTAATAGAATAAGAAATATTCCAACTTGAAATTACATTCAAATTGAGAAACACACGAAATTTTACAAAAATCAAGACACGTGTTGTATGAAAAATGCAGCTTCAGACTTTGCTTTGATGTAAAATAAGTCAATTGGAAAAACAAAGGAAGCCGAAGCTCTTTCTAATTGTTTTTATAAATGAACATGTGAAGGCATTGATTTTTTCAAATTGGTGTCCAAATCGGAAAATGCCTTTTCATTTAATTAATCTATGTGTAAAATTACTTGGCTCACGGGCTGCTCCACCTAATTACCCTCAATTAGTCTTTCCCCAAGTGAATATCGTTGAGACATTGCAACTCAAACATCTTTTTCATTAAATGAAAAAGAAAAATCAAAGAACCCAAACATTAGTGAGAATAGTAATTTTAATGCTATAATAGAACCAAAATATAATTTTTACGAGCTTTTCCATCCAGATCCACCTTGTTGCTAATATTTTTTTAATATAATTTAATATTAATATCAGTTTCAATTAATAAAACTATAAATGAGTCGAACCACTCGTGAGTTACTTGAAAATCGATTTTAAAAAAAAACTCATTTAATAAGTTTAAAGAGTGGAGCTTAAACCTATTAATTTATTAAGATTTTATAAAAGGGTCAAAATTAAATTTTGTACATAAATTGAACTTAAATTTAATTTTACTAACTATATAAGTATCATGTCAGCCCAGAAATTATATAAATTTTGGTTAAATTAAATGATATTAGATTTGGTGTGAGTTTATAAATTATTTGAATTTTTGATTAAAAATAAATCCATAAAATGTCTATTTTAGCACTAATCATATATATTACTAATTTTCCTTTCAAAAAAGAAATATTACTAATTTGTATGGTAATTTTTATAAGAATACAAAATCCAGAGCTCATTAACTTTTACCTGTTGGATTTAGAAGCCGAACATAAATGGAAAGGTTGAGAAAGTCTAAGGATGTTGACGTGTATGGACAGATGATAACAGTCCGTAATGTTTGGACATATGGCAACGGCCGGCAGTTGGATCTCAACGTCTCTTTTACATCGGATTCACGTTCTCATTCCTTTTAACCGTTGCCTGCTTATGTGTCCTGCTGCTATTGGTTGCAAATCAAGATTGCTTAGTTTAATTTTTTTTTAATTCAATCAGATTAATTAATGCCATATATTTGGGACATCATCATGCTGTTTTGAGTTTATCTTAAGGGTTTTCTTTTTTTTTTTTTTTTTTCTTTTTTATCTAGGTTTCTTTTTTTTTTTTTTTTTTTTTTTTTTTTTTTTTCTTTTTCCTTGGAATGAAAGAAAGGGTCAATTAATACATATAATATTAGTTTATTTTAGAAATAATATTTTGTTGTAAAAAATTTATTTCATAATTTGATTTTGGACGTTAAAATTTTAATTGCATTTTGAGTCCAACTCTTTATTTTACTAGAAAACCTTATATATTGAATAAAAAAAAACCTTATCTAAGGCTTTTGGACTGTATACAAAAAAATGTAAAATAAATATTAATTTAAAATTTTTGCTTTTCTAAATTTAAATATTATGGAAAATATAAGGATGAAAATTAAATAAAGTGGTAATTTTTTAATTATAAGATTTGGATTTCTAAAATGTATATAACTACATTGGTATGAAGATTTTATTTTGTACCATATTTTAGTTTAAAATTCTTATTTTTTTTTTTATATATCGTGTATTCTTAAAATGATTAAAATTCATATCTTTAGCTACGTTTCGATTTCTTAGCGATTTTTTCTTTAAGCATTTGTATAGTCCCTTTTTATTAATTTTTAGGCTCTATTTGTTTCCGTAAAATAACTTATAGGAAAATATTTTCTACAATTTTCTATTGTTTCGGGCATCCAGAAAAATAAGTCGACAGAAAATATTTTATCGGTAAAAGGAAAATTAAATCATTTTTTAAGGATCACAACTTTTCATTTTCAAGAGAATAAAACATTTTCCGGACATTGACAAACTTTATAAATTCATATTTTTTAAATTTATTAATTATCATAGTCACTACCACCATTCACTATCTACCACCGACCACTACCACCTGCCACCGGCAGCCACCACCACGGGCCACCACTGACTTTTATAATTTACTTTTTTTTTTTTTTTTTTTTAAGTTTACTTTTTTTTTTGTTTTTTTTGTATTTTTTTTTTTTTTTTGTATTCTTCTCATATTCAACAATAAAATTTTAGAATTTCTATATTAATATTTATGGTCTCATGATATAAAAGTTTTAATATTTTTAACTAATTTTTAATATTACAACCAAACAACTGAAAAAAAGTGATTTGAAAAATATTATTCAAGAAAATTGTTTTTCATGAAAAATAATTTTCAGCAAGTAATTTTCATGTAAGTTATTTTAAAGAAACAAACAGAGGACAAAAAATTTTAAAGTATACTATAGTTTAATTCCTAAAATTACAAATTTAAATTTTTCTTGTTTAAAAACTCTAATTATTTATTAAAAATTAT